ACTAAAAGTTACAAATTTAATTCAATCTTAAAGATTGCTTATACTCAATTAGTTTCATTTAAATATATTAAAGTGATCGTTTAAATAAACTGAACCAACTAACCGCATTGAAGTTGGGCTATACACAATTTAAAACCATATCATTATAGTAAAGGAAGCTGCACTGAATGTTTAATTACTGCTCTAAAATGGTATAATTGAATTCCATTTAGAGCTGCACCTGCATAAAATATTGGAGTACACACATATTTATGTATTTTTCCAACTTGCTGCGTCCATCTAAATTGTATTTATTTATTTTTATACTCATTCACGAATGTGAATTATTATACTCAATCACGAAAGTGTTTTATTATACTCATTCACGAAAGTGAATTAGTATATTGGTTTTCTGCAATGTCCATCTTGCTGTCCATCCGTCTGTCCGTCCGTCCGTCTGTCCGTATGAACGTATGATCTATTTCGGCGCTATTGAAGCTAGAGACTTGAAATTTGGAACACATACTCGTGTAAATCTCCGATGTTAAAATTTTCCCGATCCGCCCACTAGGGGCGTGGCAATGCATTTTCCGATTTGCCAGAAATCAAGTTAGTTGAAGAGCTAGAAAGCTGAAATTTGCTATGTAGGTCCGGATCGACCACCGTAGGTCACGAGCTATGGCGGATATATCTCCGCCTATTAGGGGCGTGGCAAATCGGGTAAAACTGTATCTCCAAGAGTTTTACAGCTAGAACGCTGAAATTTTGCACGTCAGCTAATGTTATGATTCTATAAAGTCTCGTGTGTACCATACGCAGTACAAGTTTAGCATATTTTTCCGATAATTCGTCTGATAACTTTTTATCGAGAATAATAGAAAAATTGATTTTATTTTTGTTCAGTCTAATTTGAACACTTTTAGACCTAGAGACTTCAGATTTACTGTGTATATACAGTTGATCGATACGAAGATTTACGGATTTTTGATACCACGCCCCCTTCAACCCAAATTTGTAAAAAAGGCACACATTATATGATCACGCTCTGAAAGTTTCATAAAGATTGTATGTCTACAAAAGAAATTATTCAACAAATAAATTCACAGCCCAAGCGCAGTCGCTGCTAACTGCGCAGTCAGCAGAGTACGTGATAATACGTGCGTGTGGATGCGTGCGTATGCATGTGTACATAAAAGAAGTGCAGAATGAGTAGAATATCAGCTTGGAGGGTTCAGCGTATCTCCCAGTCGAGCAGTCTCTACTAGCGCCTTCTTACTTGTTTAAAGTATATATTGGCAAAGCGTTATGTAATAACTAAAACTATAATTGTATAGCCTAAAAAATAAAAAAGTTATTACAATAGTAGTATCACCAACCCGATGGGGGTTCTTATTTACTAGTCCGGCCAGCTATGCCTCTTTTCACAGCCCAATATGGTCAATGATATTTTGAAACTGTAAGAAACAGAGAGTGTTAAATGAAAATATAAAACAAGTAAGAACGTTGCAGTCGGGCGTTACTGACTGCGGAATACTCATTCACATCCCATGGGCAACTTCGTAACTAAGTTTAGCTCTAATACTAGGTATAAAAGTGTTCAAATTTGCCACGCCCCTACTGGGCATTTTTGGCCAGTTCTTAGAACGAGCTAACGGTAACCTAACAACAAAATTTGGATGCTTACACTCCAAAAATGTGAAAATTACAGGGTATTTTTCGAAATACCACGCCCCTAAAAGGGAGTAATAATTTTTTTTGGATCATCGATAAAAGAGGTTACTAGTAAGTCTACTATCCAAATTTGAGCTTCTAGCTTTTAGCTTCTAGCTCTTATACAGTAGGAGATATAAACTTTTCGGTTTGCCATGCCCCCTGTGGGAAGACATATTTCCGCCTTAGCTTTTTGGTCTTGGGTGGCCCGACTATATATAGTTTATTTATAAATAGTTTCCAAAATATAACAGAATTTTAAAAATCACTGTATCTTCAATTTCGATTTTCCACGCCCCTAGTAGTCGTAGACATATAATTTAATTAATCTTTACATCAATAACATTAGCCCACGTGCAAAATTTCAGCGTTCTAGCTATAAAACTCTTGGAGATCTACATTTAAAATTTCAGCTCTTCAACTAATATGATTTCTGGTATATGCATTTATCTTCGCCAACTAGGCGCGTGGCAAATCGGACCTGAAGATATAGTGATTCATCGAATTCTGCTATATTTTAGGCACTATTGATGCTACACCTGAAATATATATATATCTCCTACAGTTTAAGAGCTAGAAGCTTCAAATGGATAGTTGAGTTACTGGTGGCCTCCTCTATCGATGCCCTGAAAAGAATTTTACCGACTCTTTAGGGGCGTGTCATATCAAAAATACCCTGTAATTGTCACATTTTTTGAGCGTAAGAATTCAAATTGCATTTGCATTTAGGTTACCGGTTGCTCGTTCTAAGAACTGGACAAAAATGAGGAGTCTACGGTCACTAAGGGCGTGGCAATCGGCATTTATAGTGCCCGTATTGCGACATTTATGCGTCAGCCATCTAATTAATCTAATTTGTACATATAAATAAGCTTAATATATATTCACAATACGGAAAGCAACATTTGCATGAAATTTAAAAAATACAAAAGAAGCTGAAATAACAAAAATTTTAAATTTACAAAAAAGAGTTTTCCGCGGGAAAAAAGCTCGCATCCAAGCCAAATAGCATGTTTGTCAAAATAACTAAAATGAAGATCGCCGGCGCAGTAATTAAAACAAAATCACATTATTGTTATGAAAAATCAATCGCAACTGAGATTCTTAGAATATGCTATAGTATGCATTTATACGCATATGCAAATGAGCGCGTGTATAAGGCTAGAATGCTTTATGTTATGCGTGGAGACTTACATATACATATATACATATTTACATATATGTATGTATATGCGTATATGCATTTGAGGTCTATTTAAGAAGAAACAAATTTAAACTTTTATTTTATTTTAAATTATTCGACTAAAAAAAAGATAAGTATTAAATGTCATTCATTTAAGCTCGCACCTTCCCAATAAAATATCTATTTAAAAAAAATAAAAAAATAGAATAACTTAATAACAGAGAGTCATCTGAAAAAACTACAGTAACACCTAGAAAATCCAGAAATCAATCGAAATTCTAAGAATATGCTAAAAGGCGCGCTTCTGTCTGTACGCATAGAATAGACGACGAGTGAGTATGCATGTGGGAAATCAGGGTATAATGGTTTTGTTAAAAGCAGAGCTTGCAAATGAGAGTTGAGCGTTTTTTCGTTTATTCTCTTCCTCGCATCATAACCAAAAAAAATTGTGCAGACACGTCTCTCTCTGAGCGTCACTCTCTGTTTTCTTTAGCATCTGTTTCGCTCAGACGCAATGCGATCGCTCATTCGTGTGACGCTCTCACATGAGTGTCGCGTAAAACTAACACGATTTTCCCTCACACAAAGCCTCTCAGCAAAAAACACTTTGACTAAAAAACTCAGCAGAAAATGTTTTTGCCTTCGTGTGCATGTAAATACACGCATACATACATATAAAAAGAACGCAGCAATCGCGCGTGATTACCCATACAAACGCAACTTACCGTTACTTCATTTAACTCAAGCAAACGATCAGTGTTTGACGTGAGGAAACGAAAACAGAAACAACTGCCTCCCTCAGAGCGCGAGAGAGCTAAGCCAGACGCGACAAAAACAGTTTCTGTCTGAGTTTTTTTGACTGTGTCAGTGAAAGACACTTTTTTGCAGACAACGAAAAAGTGTTAACAGTTATTTGCGAGCTATGGTTAAAAGTATGTAACAGGCAGAAGGAGGCGTGGCAGACCCCTCAACGTATATTCTTGATCAGGGACGGACGGACGGACAGACGGACACGCCTAAATCGACTCAGCTCGTCGCCCTGATCAATAATATATATACTTTATGGGGTCTGCCACGCCTCCTTCTGCCTGTTACATACTTTTAACAAAACCATTCTACCCTGATTTCCCATTTTCAATAGATTCAGGGTATAACAAGTAAGAAAGCTTAATATAGGAATTTAATTGCTTAATAACTTTTCTTCTGGATGGACTATCTTCATGAAACTTTCAGATTATGAATATAACATAGATATGCATGAATTTGCCAAAGTATAAGTCTCTAGTATTTGAGAATTAATATAAATAAATATTTGAAATACGCCTTTTACAAATATGTGGGTGAGGGGGTGGATATAGGGGTGGGGGTAAATTTTAACAAAAACCGAAATTGTATAAATTGCATATAAATCTACATTAAAAATTTGGAGACTAGCTTTAAAGTTGTAGGAGATATAATTTTAAACATGATTTTCGATAAGGGTTTTTATCGATTTTTTAAGCAAAACTCGATATTCGCGTGGTATACACGGACATTTTACAAACAAATTTAGGTCTCTAGTTTTTGTATCTTCTGAAATTGACGCGTTCAAACATACTGACAGACGGAGGGACGGACAGGCCTAAATCGACTCAGCTTGTCGCCCTGATCAGGAATATATATACTCTGTGGGGTCTGCCACGCCTCCTTCTGCCTGTTACATACATTTCAACAAAACTATTATATCCTGATTTCCCATTATCAATGGGTTCAGGGTATAAAAAAATTAACATCAGTGCGCGCTCGGGGCTCGAACCCGAGACTTCTCGATCGAGCGTCATGCCGGCAACTCTAGCTATAAAGATGAAGGAACTATAATTTTATAACTAGTTTTCGATAAGATCGATAACATAATAACGGGAAGAAGAAAATACCATTGTGGTGATTGATGGTATAACAAGAGTGGATAGGTTTTTTAGTCTCTTAAATGATTTTTAGACTCTTACATTATTATTGAAAATATAGGTATTAATTATTTTGTATATAAATATAAAGATATAAAATATCATTTCTACAAATTTGAGATATGAACATCGTATAAAAAAAATCTTCAAATTCAAACATTACTCTTTTGTTTTTGTACTTACAGGTAAAAATATGGTTTCAAAACCATCGGTATAAATGCAAACGACAAGCAAAAGAAAAAGCAATGGCAGAACAAAATCAACATAATCAAGTAAGACGAATGAATTCTAATGAAACTATAATTTAGTGTATCTCGCAAAAGAATCGATTGTTTGACTAAATTCAATTATTGTTAAGAAATAAAGCCTATCAAAGTATTATATTAGATAAATATTATAAATAACAAGTAAGAAGACTCTAGTCCAGACTGCTCGACTAGGAGATACCCAGAACCCTCTAATTTGATATTCTAATCACTCTGCACTTCTTTTCGGCACACATACATACACACGCACGTATTAGAACGCGCTCTGCTAACTGTGCAATAAGCAGCGACTGCGCTTGGGCTGCGCTGCAGTGTGGGCAACATTATAAGAATTTATTTGTTGAATAATTTAATTTCTAGACGTACAATCTTAATGAAACTTTCAGAGAGTAAATGAAAATGTATGTACATTCTAAAGCACAAGTCTCTAGTATTTGAAGTACGCCTTTTACAAAGGTGAGGGTGAGGGGGTGGAAATAGGAGTGGGAGGTAAATTTTAACAAAAATAGAAATTGTATAAAATATATATAAGTCTACATTTTAAATTTGGAAGCTCTAGCTCTAAAGGTGTAGGAGATATAATTTTATAACTGGTTTTCGATAAGGTTTTTTATCGATAACAAGTAAGAAAACTCTAGTTGAGAGTGCTCGACTAGATACTACCCTGAACCCAATTAATAAAAATGCCCATTTACTATGGCTAAAATTTCAATTTCGATGTATTTAAAAATATAAATTAAATTGAAAACTCATTTATGAAAATATAAAAATATTTGGAAGCAATTAAAACAAGTAAGAACGTTGCAGTCGGGCGTTACCGACTGCGGAATACTCATTCACATCCCATCAACAATTTAGTAGTTAAGTTTCGCTGTAATACTGTAGAATATACAGGTTTTTCCGATTTGCCACGCCCCTACTGGGCGTAGAAACCTCATTTTTGGTCAGTTTTTAGAGATAACGGTACCCTAACTGCAAAGTTTGAATGCTTAACCTCAAAAAATGTGAAAATTACAGTGTATTTTTCGATATGCCACGCCTCTAAAGAGGCGTAAAAATTATTTTTGGGGAATCGATAGAAGAGGCTACCAGTAACTCAACTATCCAAATTTAAAGCTTCTAGCTATTATACTTTAGGAGATATAAACTTTTGTGGTTTGCCACGCCCCCTGTGGGAGAACATATATCCGACAAAACTTTTTGGTCTTGGGTAATCAGTCCGAGTATATATACAAAATTTGAGGTCTCTGCCATCAATAGTGTCCAAAATATAGGAGAATTTAAGAAATCACTATATCTTCAGGTCCGATTTGCCACGCCCCAATGGGCATAGACTTATAATTATACTCATTCACGAAAATGAATCAGTATATTGGTTTTGTGCAATGTCCGTCTTGCTGTCCGTCCGTGCAGCAGCTACAACAGCATCGTATGCGTGTGCACACATGCATTCAAACTTCTTCTAGAACATTCTTTGAATTACATCAGCTGTTAGTATCGTTTAGTTTTGCTAGATGGCGCTGCAGCAGTGAATCTATTTCAGTTTTCCCATCGTGGCTCGCGAAAATGAGGTGGCGTAGTGAGTAGCTGCGTGACACTTGATCGAAAGGTCGCGGGTTCGAATCCCGATCGGTGTAACTGATGTTAATTTTTTTAAATGTTTCAAAATATTTTTATATTTTCATAAATGAGTTTTCTATTTAATTTATATTTTTCAATAACCGGAATTGAAATTATAACCATACCAAATGTGCGTTTTTAAGAGTTTGGTTATTCTAGCAGGTTCTTAGAATCACATCAGCAGTTAGTTTGGTTTAGTTTTGGTAGATGGCGCTGCAGTAGTGAATCTATTCGAGTTTTGCCAGCGAAGCTTTTAGAAGTGAGGTGGCGTACTGTGTTAGCGGCATGTCGCTCGATCGAGAAGTCGCGGTTCGAAACCCGATCGGTGCAACTGATGATAATTTTTATACTCATTCACGAAAGTGAATCAGTATATTGGTTTTGTGCAATGTCCGACTTGCTGTCCGTCCGTCTGTCCGTCCGTACGTCTGTCCGTCTGTCCGTATGAACGCAATCTATTTCGGCGCTATTGAAGCTAGAGACTTGAAATTTGGAACACATACTCGTGTATATCTCCGATTTATAAAGTGTTAAAATTTTCCCGACCTGCCCACTAGGGGCGTGGCAAATCGGAAAATGCATTTTCCGATATACCAGAAATCATGTTAGTTAAAGAGCTAGAAAGCTGAAATTTGGTACGTAGGTCCGCGTCGACCACCCAAGATCACGAGTTATGGCGGATATATCTCGCCCATTGGAGGCGTGGCAAATCGGCTAAAACTGTATCTCCTAAAGTTGTAAACCTAGAATGCTGAAATTTTGCACGTCAGCTAATGTTATGATTCTATAAAGTCAAAAGACAATTTATAAGTCTACGCCTTTTAGGGGCGTGGCAAATCGGACCTGAAGATATAGTGAATTTTTAAATTCTGCTCTATTTTGGACACTATTGATGCCAGAGACCTCAAATTTTGTATATATACTCGGGCTGATCACCTAAGACCAAAAAGCTTTGTCGGATATATGTCCGCCCACAGGGGGCGTGGCAAACAGCAAAAGTTGATATCTCCTAAAGTATTTAGATAGTAAAGTTACCAGTAACCTCCTCTATCGATGACCCAAAAATAATTTTTACGCCTCTTTAGGGGCGTGCCATATCGAAAAATACCCTGTAATTTCTCATTTTTTGAGGGTAAGCATTCAAACTTTGCAGTTAGTGTACCGTTATCACGTTCTAAGAACTGACCAAAAATGAGGTGTCTGCGCCCAGTAGGGGCGTGGCTAATCGGAAATACCTGTATATTCTACAGTATTAGAGCGAAACTTAACTACTATATTGTTGATGGGATGTGAATGAGTATTCCGCAGTCGGTAACGCCCGACTTTATAAAATCATACCATTAGCTGACGTGCAAAATTTCAGCATTCTAGGTTTACAATTTTAGGAGATACAGTTTTATCCGATTTGCCACGCCCCCAATGGGCGTAGATATATCCGCCATAGCTCGTGATCTTGGGTGGTCAACGCGGACCTACATACCAAATTTCAGCTTTCTAGCTCTTTAACTAACATGATTTCTGGTATATCGGAAAATGCATTTTCCGATTTGCCACGCCCCTAGTGGGCAGGTCGGGAAAATTTTAACACTTTATAAATCGGAGATATACACGAGTATGTGTTCCAAATTTCAAGTCTCTAGCTTCAATAGCGCCGAAAAAGATTGCGTTCAACGGACAGACGGACAGACGGACGGACGGACAGACGGACGGACAGCAAGTCGGACATTGCACAAAACCAATATACTGATTCACTTTCGTGAATGAGTATAAAAATTATCATCAGTTGCACCGATCGGGTTTCGAACCGCGACTTCTCGATCGAGCGACATGCCGCTAACACACTACGCCACCTCACTTCTAAAAGCTTCGCTGGCAAAACTCGAATAGATTCACTGCTGCAGCGCCATCTACCAAAACTAAACCAAACTAACTGCTGATGTGATTCTAAGAACCTGCTAGAATAACCAAACTCTTAAAAACGGTTATTGAAAAATATAAATTAAATAGAAAACTCATTTATGAAAATATAAAAATATTTTGAAACAATTAAAACAAGTAAGAAGACTCTAGTCGAGCCTGCTCGACTAGGAGATACCCTGAACCCTCTAATCTGATATTCTAATCAGTCTGCACTTCTTTTCGACAAACATACATACACACACACGTATTAGAATGCGCTCTGCTAACTGCGCTTGGGCTGCGCTGTAGTGTAGGTAACATTATAAGAATTTATTTGTTGAATAATTTAATTTCTATACGTACAATCTTAATGAAAGTTTTAGGTCGTAATTATATAGTAAAAATGTATGTACATTCCAAAGCACATGTCTCTAGTACTTGAAACACGCCTTTTACAAAGGTGAAGGTGAGGGGGTGGATATAGGGGTGGGGGGTACATTACAACAAAAATCGAAATTATATAAAATACATATAAGTCTACATTTAAAATTTGCAAGCTCTAGCTCTAAAGGTGTAGGAGATATAATTAAATAACTAGCTTTCGATAAGGTTTTTGATCGATAATAAAATATCGGGAGTAGTTATCGATATATAAAGAAAAACTTGATATGCGCGTGATATACACGGACCTAGGAAAAAAAATTTCAAGTCTCTAGCTCTTATATCTTCTGAAATCGACGCGTTCATACATACGGACGGACGGACGGACGGACGGACGGACAGACAGACGGACAGGGCCAAATCGACTTAGCTCGTCGCCCTGATCAAGAATATATATACTTTGTGGGGTCTGCCACGCCTCCTTCTGCCTGTTACATACTTTTAACAAAACCATTATACCCTGATTTCCCATTTTCAATGGGTTCAGGGTATAAAAATTAACATCAGTTACACCGATCGGGATTCGAACCCGCGACCTTTCGATCAAGTGTCACGCAGCTACTCACTACGCCACCTCATTTTCGCGAGCCGCGATGGCAAAACTGAAATAGATTCACTGCTGCAGCGCCATCTAGCAAAACTAAACGAAACTAACAGCTGATGTGATTCAAAGAATGTTCTAGAAGAAGTTTGAATGCATGTGTGCACACGCATACGATGCTGTTGTAGCTGCAGCACGTGCGTTTGTTAATTGGCCAAATATTTGATGATTTTTAATTAATTTTTGACTGAACGAAATTTAATGAAACTTTCAGCATATGATCTACATTTTGAATATTTGAGAAATTTAAAAAAATTAAAAATCATTCACAATTAGCTATAGTGGCATCTGACTTGAACTTGAATGTTTTTACTCGATAAAAACATAACGGGATGATTTATCGAATTTTAAAAGCAAACTCGACGTCCGCGCTGTATATACGGTCATTAAAAAACAAGTAAGAAAGCTCTAGTCGAGACTGCTCGACTACGAGATCCCCTGAACCCTTGGAGCAATAGATATTTCAATACTTTTTCGCGACTTTCAGCTTACACAAGAAACACGCACACACACACACACAGGTATACATAACACACACACGCATACAGACACACATACACACACACACGCATACAGACACAAACGCATACACACACACACATACACACACACATACACATACAAGCAACCACGCATAAACACGCATGGGCTGCAGTGTGCGCTTACTATGAGAACTTAATTGTTTAATAACTTTTTTTATGGACGTACGATCTTCATGAAACTTTTAGATTATGATAATAACATGAATATGCATGTAATTGCCAAAACACAAGTCTCTAGTATTCGAAATACGCTTTTTACAAAAGTGAGGGTGAGGGGGTGAATTTAGAGGTGGGGGGTAAATTTTAACAAAAACCGAAATTGTATAAATTGCATATAAGCATACATTAAAAATTTGGAGACTCTAGCAATAAAGGTGTAGAAGATAAAATTTTATAACTGGGTTTCGATAAGGTTTTTTATCGATAAAAAAAGATCGAGATGAGTTATCGATTTTTAATGATAAACTTGATATGCGCGCTGTAATTACGGACATTTTAAAAAAAATTTTGAAGTCTCTAGCTCTTATATCTTCTGAAATCGACGCGTTCATACATACGGACAGACGGACAGACGGACAGACAGACGGACAGGGCCAAATCAACTCAGCTCGTCACCCTGATCAAGAATATATATACTTTATGGGGTCTGCCACGCCTCCTTCTCCCTGTTACATACATTTCAACAAAACCATTATACCCTGATTTCCCATTGAAAATGGGTTCAGGGTATAAAAATTGAAGTCTCTAGCTCTTATATCTTCTGAAATCGACGCGTTCAAACATACGGACAGACGGACAGACGGACAGGGCGAAATCGACTCAGCTCGTCGCCCTGATCAAGAATATATATACTTTGTGGGGTCTGCCACGCCTGCTTCTCCCTGTTACATACATTTCAACAAAACCATTATACCCTGATTTCCCATTGAAAGTGGGTTCAGGGTATATAAAAGATCGGGATGAGTGATCGATTTTTAATGATAAACTCGATATCCGCGCTGTAATTACGGACATTTAAAAAAAATTTCAAGTCTCTAGCTTTTATATCTTCGGAAATCGACGCGTTCAAGCATACGGACAGACGGACAGGGCTATATCGACTCAGCTCGTCACCCTGATCAAGAATATATACACTTTGTGGGGTCTGCCACGCCTCCTTCTGCCTGTTACATACATTTCAACAAAACCATTATACCCTGATTTCCCATTGAAAATGGGTTCAGGGTATAAAAAGATAATATGATAAATAGAATAGGGAAATCACCACACAATGTGGAACCTCTGACCGAACATCCAGTTAGTGCATCAGTTCACACTTGGGCACTATGTGTGATTTTCTTAAGATAACCTGAAAACAAAGATTAAATTATCGGGAGAGTTTAAGAGAGACGTCATGATAAAATTTATAATAATAAAACGTAAACATAAACACGCATTGTCTGCAGTGTGGGCTTACTATGGAATTTTAATTTTCATTATCAGATTATGATTATAACATGCATATGCATACATTTGCCAAAGCACAAGTCTCTAGTATTTGAAATACGTCTTTTACAAATATGTGGGTGAGGGGGTGGATATAGGGGTGGGGGCTACATTTTAACAAAAGCCGACATTGTATAAAATATGTACATCTAAAAATATATTTATTTGGAGACGCTAGCTTTAAAGATGTAGGAGATATATTTTATAACTGAATTACCATAAGGCTATTAATCGATAACAAAATAAAGTGAGGACTTGATATGCGCGTGGTATATACTGACCTAGGAATAACAAGTAAGAAGACTCTAGTCGAGACTGCTCGACTAGGAGATACCCTGAACCCTCTAATTTGATATTCTAATCACTCTGCACTTCTTTTCGGCATACATACATACACACGCACGTATTAGAACGCGCTCTGCTAACTGCGCAGTAAGCAGCGACTGCGCTTGGGCTGCGCTGCAGTGTGGGCAACATTATAAGAATTTATTTGTTGAATAATTTAATTTCTAGACGTACAATCTGAAACTTTCAGAACATAATCATATGGTGAATATGTATGTACATTTCAAAGCACAAATCTCTAGTACTTGACACCCGCCTTTTACAAAGGTGAGGGTGACGGGGGTGGATATAGGGGTGGGGGGTAAATTACAACAAAAATCGAAATTATATAAAATTCATATAACTGTATATTTAAAATTTGGAAACTCTAGTTCTAAAGGTGTAGGAGATATAATTAAATAACTAGCTTTCGATAAGGTTTTTAATCGATAATAAAATATCGGGAGTAGTAATCGATATAAAAAGAAAAACTTGATATGCGCGTGATATACACGGACCTGGGAAAAAAATTTCAAGTCTCTAGCTCTTATATCTTCTGAAATCGACGCGTTCATACATACGGACGGACGGACGGACGGACGGACGGACAGACAGACGGACAGGGCCAAATCGACTTAGCTCATCGCCCTGATCAAGAATATATATACTTTGTGGGGTCTGCCACGCCTCCTTCTGCCTGTTACATACTTTTAACAAAACCATTATACCCTGATTTCCCATTTTCAATGGGTTCAGGGTATAACAAGTAAGAAAGCTCTAGTCGAGACTGCTCGACTACGAGATCCCCTGAACCCGATAAATCATCCGATAACTTTTTTATCGAGAATAATCGAAAAATTGATTTTGTTTTTTCAGCCTAATTTGAACACTTTTAGACCTTTGCGTTGTATATAAAGTTAATGAATACAAAGATTTTGCAATTTACAGATTTTGGATATCACGCCCCCTTCGCCCCCAATTTGTAAAAAACGCATTTCAAGTACTAGAGACTTGTGCTTTGGAATGTACACACATTTTAACCATATGATTACGTTTTGAAAGTTTTATTAAGATCGTATGTGTACAAAAGAAATTATTCAACAAATAAATTCTCATAATATTGCCCACATTGCAGCGCAGCCCAAGCGCAGCCGCTGCTTACTGCGCAGTTAGCAGAGTGCGTGCTTATAACTGCATGTGTATGTATGTGTGCATAAAAGAAGTCCAGAATGAATAGAATATCAGCTCGGAGAGTTCAGGGTATCTCCTAGTCGAGCAGTCTCGACTGGAGCCTTCTTACTTGTTTTTTGTTAATTTAGTTGTAGATTGCTCATAGAGGAGCATTTTATAAGGTTGTAAGGTTTTCCACGGAAATACCTGCATTATTCTTCGTTCGCGACTAATTTTTTAATGATTTCACTTAATCACGTTGTTTGCCCATAAGTTACCGAAAACTATGATCAAATAATGGCTATTATTAAAGAGGACAACAAAAATAACTTAAAAAATAAAAATATGTATTTTTGAATCCAAGCAAATTACCGAAAATTAATTTGAAAGGGAATGTCAAAATACTTTTGTCCAGCCAAATAATGATAATCCGCCATTCAAATAATTATAGAAAATTATTGAGTCATGTCATGAATGCAATATTTTTGTCACTTAAAGCCTAGTATGTTTGCTCTCTCTAAAAAATATAATGGGTACCGTTAGCTCTCTCAGCACGCAGAAATAAGCGGTTATAGTATATGTTATATAAATTTTCATAAACTATCATAACCTGAAATTTTAATTTACATGGGTTCAAGAAATAGACAAATATTGAAAGAATTTCAGCCCAAACTTGCATGGTTAATCAAAAGGGACCGATGAACAACCACATATAAGGGGCAATGTTTAATCGACTCAGGTTGATCAAGATGGGATGTGTCACATTCATTATGAAAGTTACATATGTACATAGTCATTATAACCAGATTTCCCATTTACTATGTTATTCGTAAAAACAATATACAGAGGAATTATTTTGGAAAAATTCTGGTCCCTAGACAAACTTATATGAGCAAACTTATACGGTAATAGCATCTTCCGGGTATAACGACGATCTATTGAATGTCGTTCTAACTGGATTCTACCGTATATACATATATACGAAATTTCCTATTAAACTGAATTAATATTTTACTGTCCTACCGAATAAAAATAAATAAAACTAAATTAACATGCTTATATATTTTATATTTTTATTTTTTCTCTAGTCTGCAAGCTCGCCAAGGCGCGTTGCTGTTCCCGTTTTAGTAAAAGATGGGAAGCCATGCCCGGGAGCAGGCAATTCAATACAACAGCAAACACACACTAATAGCTCAACAACATCTGGAAACAACAGCAATAATAGCAATGGAAATGCTAATGGAGTAGCTGGAACAAGTTCAGTTCCAAACAATGTACCAAGTGTCCTAAATCTGATCCCTGGAGATGCGCCTAACTCACACTCCCCTGACACATCATCATCTCTGATAGCAAGTTACAGTGGGACAGTTGGAGGTTCCAATGCTTCTATGTTACAACAACCCTGCAATAATGCTCTAATGTCTAATAGTTTAGCTATGGCCTATCGAAACCAAAATAATTTTATTTCGAATGGTCATCAACAACAGTGTGCTGGTTACTTGCCATTGCAAGGTAGAGCATGGTAAAATTAGAATTAGAATTAAATTCTTTCGGTTCTGTTAAAGTGTACTCAATTCAGTTATGTGTATATTTTCTAATACATTACATTTTTGAAAAGCTAATGCTCTTCTAGCTTTTACTTTCATAAAATGAAATTTTTGCTTTATTTGCTATTATAAGATATAACCTAAAAAAAAGAAATAAAGTAATAATAATAATAATTTAATAATTAATGAAATAAGTGTAAATATTAATAGGTCAATCAATGTATTAACAATAAACTGAAATTTTAAAATTGAGTGGTTCACATAAATGCAATTATATTAAATTGTGTAAAATTAAACTTACTTTTATTGAATTTTTGATTCGTCAATTTCTAGATATGAAACGTTTATTGTTTATACCCTGAACAAATTGAAAATGAGAAATCTGGGTTTTATGTATTTGTGAAATGTATGTGACAGGGATAAAAGGTGTGGAAAATCTCATAAAGTATATATGTTCCTAATCAGGATAACTAGCTGAATTGATCTGACCAATTCCGTCAGTAAGAGAGTAGAGATCTCCGAAACTACAAATGTTAGATAAATTTTAAATGTGTTTTCGCGTATACCATACGCATTACAAGTTTATAACATTTATACCCTGAACCCATTAAAAATGGCAAATCAGGGTATAACAGTTTTTTTTAAATGTATGTAACAGCCATATTTTGCCATAATTATTGAATTCTTTTTTCTCCATTGCAATACTTACCAGTTTATTGCCGAATAATTTAAAATTTTCTGTTATCAAAATATTAAAACGCTTTCCTTTTTCTGATTTTCCATCATATTTTGCCATAATTATTAAATTCATTATTCTCTATTGCAATATTGCAATTATTTTTGGGTCATCGATAGAGGAGGTTACTGGTAACTTTACTATCTAAATACTTTAGGAGATATAAACTTTTGCGGTTTGCCACGCCCCCCTGTGGGCGGACATATATCCGACAAAGCTTTTTGGTTTTAGGTGATCAGCGCGAGTAAATATACAACATTTGAGGTCTCTGGCATCAATAGTGTCCAAAATATAGCAGAATATAAAAAATCACTATATCTTCAGGTCTGATTTGCCACGCCCCTGATGGGCGTAGACTTATAATTTTTTCTTTAGACTTTATAGAATTATAACATTAGCTGACGAACAAAATTTCAGCATTCTATTTTTACAACTTTAGGAGATACAGTTTTATCCGATTTGCCACGCCCCCAATGGGCGGAGATATATCCCCCCAAGTGGGGGGATCGGGAAAATTTTAACACTTTATAAATCGGAGATATACACGAGTATGTGTTCCAAATTTCAAGTCTCTAGCTTCAATAGCGCCGAAATAGATTGCGTTCATACGGACAGACGGACGGACGGACAGACGGACGGACAGCAAGTCGGACATTGCACAAAACCAATATACTGATTCACTTTCGTGAATGAGTATAAAAATTTGATGTAGAGAAGAATCGCTAGTTTTATACCCTGAACCCATTTTCAATGGATAATCAGGGTATAATGGTTCTGTTGAAATGCATGTAATAGGCAGAAGGAGGCGTGGCGGACCCCTCAAAGTATATATATTCTTGATCAGGGCGACGAGCTATGTTGATTTAGCCCTGTCCGTCTGTCTGTCTGCGCGTATGTCTGAACGCGTCGATCTCAGAAGATATAAGAGCTAGAGACTTTGAAATTTTTTTTCCTATGTCCGTGTATAGCACTCGCATATCGAGTTTTGCTTTAAATGTCGATATTGATTAAAAACATTATCGAAAATCAGTAATAAATTTATATCTCCTACATCTTTAAAGCTAGAGTCTCCAAATTTTATATGTATACTTATATGCATTATATGCATGTTTAATCAAAATTAGCCCCCCAACCCTAATTCACCGCCATCACATGTGTAAAAGGCGTATTTTAAATACTAGGGACTGTGCTTTGGCAAATACATGCATATCTATGTTATATTCATAATCTGAAAGTTTCATGAAGAAAGTACGTCCACAAGAAAAGGTATCAAACAATTAAATTCCCATAGTAAGCCCAGACCTCAGCCAATTCATGTTTATGCGTGCGTGCGTATGGTTGTGTGTGTGCATGTGCGAATAATTTTTGAAATATCAGTTGCTCGAAGGGTTCAGGGGATCTCGTAGTCGAGCAGTCTCGACTAGAGCTTTCTTACTTGTTATACCCTAAACCCATTGAAAATGGGAAATCAGAGTATAATGGTTTTGTGAAAAAGTAAGTAAGCAATGATCGAAGACCCCATAAAGTATATATATTCTTTATCAGCACGACGAGCTGAATCAATATAGGCCTGTCCGTCTATCCGTCCGTCCGTCCGTGCGTCCATCCGTATGAGTGCGTCGATCTCAGAAGTTATAAGAGCTAGAGAGCTGAAATTTGCCATGCATACTCGTGTGTACTATACGCAATACAAGTTTATCATATTTTTTCGATAGCTCATCCGTTAACTTTTTTATCGATAATAATCGAAAAATGGTTTTTCAGCCTACTTTGAACATTTTTTGACCTATAGACTTCAGATTTACTGTGTGTATACAGTTGTTCGATACGCAGATTTTGTAATTTACAGATTTTGGATACCATGCCCCCTTTGCCACAATTTGTAAATAACTCATTTCAAGTATTCGAGACTTGTGCTTTGGCAAATACATGCATTTTCATGTTATAATCAAAATCTGAAAGTTTCATGAAGAAAGTACATCCACAAGAAAAGTTATTGAACAATTAGGTTCCTGTAGTAAGCCACCACTGCAGCCAATAATTACGCTCTAAAACTTTCATTAAGATTGTATGTCTACAGCAGCGCAGCCCAAGCGCAGTCGCTGCTGCCGTCAGCAGAGCGCGTGATTATACGTTTGTTTATATTATATTATATGTTTGCATAAGTGAAGTGCAGAATGAGTAGAATATCAGCTTAGAGGGTTCAGGGTATCTCCTAGCTCGTCGTGCTGATCAAGAATATATATATTTTACAGGGTCTGCGGTAATTCCTTCTGCCTGTTACATACTTTTCCACAAAACCATTATACCCTGATTTCTCATTTTAAATGGGTTCATGGTATAAAAATAAATCGCAGTACAGAGGGTGTGCTTGAATTAGTGCACACAGATGTATGTGGACCGATGAATGTCAGGTTAATCGGTGGCAATCGCTATTTTGCGACATTCATTGAGCGTTTGTTTACTCACGCATGATTTTTGTCTATATAATGAACGCAAAAAACGAAGTTTTGGAAAATTTTTCGCAGCGATAATGACACGGAGTATGTAAATAAGCAGTTTACTGATTTTTGATTGATGCGGCATACAAAGGCAGTTGACAATACCCTATACACCATTTGCGAGTTTTTGGTTCTCGCGTGCTTGCTCTGAACAAGGCTAAGAGGAGCAAATCTCAAGCAAAAGGAAACAAGTAAGACAGCTCTAGTCGAGAGTGCCCGACTACGAGATCCCCTGAACCTTTCGAGCAATAGCGGTTTCAATCATTTTTCTCGTCTTTCTGCTTACACAAGACACACACACACACACACACACACACACACACACACACACACGCTTATACACACAGGCATATACACACACAAGCATAAACACTCATGGGCGGCAGTGAGCGCTTACTATGAGAACTTAATTGCTTAATAACTTTTTTGTGGACGTACGATCTTCATGAAACTTTCAGATTATGATTATAACATGAATATGCATGTAATTGCCAAAGCACATGTCTCTAGTATTTGAAATACGCTTTTTACAAAAATGAGGGCGGGGGGCTGAATTTAAGGGTGGGGGGTAAATTTTAACAAAAACCGAAATTGTATAAATTACATATAAGCATACATTAAATATTTGGAGACTCTAGCAATAAAGGTGTAGAGGATATAATTTTATAACTGGTTTTCGATAAGGTTTTTTATCGATAAAAAAAGATCGGGATGAGTTATCGATTTTTAATGATAAACTTGATATGCGCGCTGTAATTACGGACATTTAAGAAAAAATTTGAAGTCTCTAGCTCTTATATCTTCTGAAATCGACGCGTTCATACATACGGACAGACGGACGGACGGACGGACGGACAGACGGACAGACAGACGGACATGGCCAAATCGACTCAGCTCGTCGCCCTGATCAAGAATATATATACTTTGTGGGGTCTGCCACGCCTCCTTCTGCCTGTTACATACATTTCAACAAAACCCTGATTTACCATTGAAAATGGGTTCAGGGTATAAAGAAACAAGTAAGAACGTTGCAGTCGGGCGATACCAATTGCAGAATACTCATTCACAGCCCGAACGCTGTCAACCCGAGTATATAGTGCAATTTTCAAGTCTAGTGCGCAACAAAAAAACAGGACATGATCCCATTAAAAATGGAAAATCATCGATAGCTATTGCTATGATCATTGCATCATTGCATTCAAATTACATACATATATAATTTATAAAATTTTAATTTTTATTATATATAAATATATCCATATGTTGGATACCGGCCTCAAACTAGCAGCAGATCAGCGTGATTTTCCTATACATGTGCACACACTCATCGTCTATTCTATGCGTACACACAGAAACGCGCCTTTTAGCATATTCTTAGAATTTCGATTGATTTCTGGACTTTCTAGCCGTTATTGTAGTTTTGTCTGATGACGTGCTCTTATTAAGCTATTCTATTTTAACAACTAGCTGGTCAAGCAAAGCAGTAACGCGTGTTAAAGACGACGCAAATTATGTTAGAGTAGGGGAGGTTCGAACCTCTTAGATGTTCCTTTTTTTTTCATACATATTTCGTTTTTTATAAAATAGATATTTTATTGGGAAGGTGCGAGCTTGAATGAATGGCACTTAATACTTTTCTTTTTCTTAGTCGAATAATTTTATAAGTTTAAATTTGTTTCTTCTTAAATAGCCCTCAAATACATATCTGCACACAAAGCATCAAGCATTCCAGCCTTATACACGCGCTCATTTGTATGTGTGTATGTATGTACACATAAATCGCGT